CCATGAGCTTTTTTTTGAAAGCACAGACTTTTTTTTGTTTTTTTGGTACCAGGTATCCAACTTGGGTTATTGTGCTTGCAAGGCAGGCAGCGGAACCACTGAGCTAAATCCCCGGCCCAGCATAGACTTTTTTTAAAAAAAAGCATATCTTTTTCCATTTGTAATACTGGGCTGTATTTGGGAGTGGAGAGTTCAAAGGATATGTTGTCTGTCTTTGGTAAAAGCTCGCCAGCTGTCTCCAAAGAGGCTCTTCATGGTCACATTAATAACCTCAGTGAATATTGCTCAGGCTAAGAAACCAAGGATTGTTAGTCCATCAAAATGAACCTTTTTCTCAGAAATGAACACTCATTAGCCAAGTTCAGTGTCTGATGTGCAGACATGTCACCATTTACAGTGTTTCCCTTTTGAGTGCTAGAAACAGCCCTCATCTCTTATTTAGAGCTTTTGTTACCATGGGCGACCCACATTCAGAATAGGAAAGTCTGAAATGTTCAATAAGCACCACTGAAAGCCAAGATTATTGGTAACAAAACCACAGGAACAATGCTGTTAGTCAGCTTTCTGTCACTATAATAAATATCTGTGATGCTCTTCTCATCTCCAGAATCTTCTACGTCATTTCTTATTCACCACTCTTTAAAGTTTATGGCACTGCAATCTGTTCTACTCCTTGTTTCATTACTGAAGTAAAATATTTTGTTAACTAATACAATCATAGTAGAAGAAATTTTTCACTTTTTAAATTAGGCATTAGAGAAAACATACTCTATATGGGGTATCACAAACTATCCTGAACTACACACAGTATGTGTACCCACAGTTCAATGTACACTGTTTCTTAAAGATCCCAACTCACCTAAATTTTATAGACCTGACCAGAGGAAAACTAATTCTTATGAGAAAAAAAAAAATAGAAGAAAAAATACATAAACCCTAAAAAGTATTATTTAAATCCAAGATGAGATAGATACACTCTGGACCAATTAGACAAAGATAAAAAAAAATGCTGTATGTACTGATATTCAGAGTTATTTAGCCTGAAGTAGTAAACATCAGCTTCCTGGTTCAGATACAAAGGAAAAGAGAAGAAATTTTTATTTTTTCTACTCTTTGGCATGATTTCTTTTTTGTTTTTAGTACCAGGGTTCAAACTTGGGACCTTGAGCTTGTGAGGCAGGCAGCAGAACCACTGAGCTAAATCACCAGTCCATGATTTCTTCTTTTTACGTATCAATTTCCACACTATTAACCTTGGGTTTCAGTAGCTTGCCTTTCTCCACACTGAACATGATTGACACTACCAGGAAACTCCACTCTAGCCAGATATACTGGGAATGCAGGGCTCCTTTCTGTCACAGTAGCCCATGACTGACAGTAAGGCAGGAGGGCACAAAGGAACAAGGCCTGCTCCTCCACAGGCATCACAAGGAAATGTGGAAAAGCAAGGAGTCCCCAGGAAGCCCCAGACGCTGCAGTTAAATCATCTCACCAACAAAAGTGAATGTAGCTAAGAACAATTTATAACATTTGTTTAAATATGCTGTAGGGCCGAGAAAATTTTGCATAATATGTGACAAGTGCAAATTAAAAACACTAACCATTACTGTGGGCAAATTTTAATAAAGTTAATATCAAGTGATAAGGATGCAAAATAAATGAAATTCTCAAACTCTAAGAAGAAAATAATACAACTTCTTCCAAAAACACTTAAGACATTTAAAAGTTCAATTTTTACAAAACCCAGTCCCACTCCTATGTATTTACCCGAGAAGAAACAAAATGTTTTTACAAAATCCTATATGCAGATGTTTACAGGAGCTTTATTCATAGTTACCAAAAGCTGAAAATTGCATGCTTTTGTTTCTGTGACATTCTGGGAAGGTAAAACTAGAGACAATAAATAGATCACTGATCCCAGGGCTAAGGTTAGAGGGACTGACTACAAAGGCATTGCATGAAGAAATTTTTGTGGTGATTACTATTTTTTTTTTTTTTTTTTTTTTT